TCTCTCTCTCTCTCTCTCTATCACAGCGCTTGCAACAGCGGACTGCTTTACTCCAGTCTTGGCAAGACTGCACTGCGCTGTCTAAGACGAACGGAGACTGCCTCGATCGCGCAGCTTCCGACTTGATAGTCGATCGCACTACCGAAACCTGGGCCTAACAAAAAAGAATGCCGGAAAGGCGACGATGAGCGGGGAGCAAGCCAAGACGGTGGACAGGCACGGGGGCACCACGGTAGGGACTGCTGCTCTGCCCGACGTCGGCCTCCACAGAGAAGCAGCAGGGCTGCGGCCGTGCGGCTTGTGGATCGGCTGGTGAGCGGGTGGGCGGCTGGGCGACCGAGAGGCTGGGCGCCCAAGCGGCGCGGTGCTCGCCGGGCTGTCGAGCGGATGGGCGACTGGGTGGTCGGGTCCCGGGTGCTCAGGCGACTGGACGGCCAGGTAACGATGGGTCTGTATCTCGGCTGACCCGGTGCGCAACACGCAACACGTAGCATGCTGAGACACAGCTCGACACGTAGACTGAACACGTAGGTCTGACGCGATACGCTGAGCCAACACGCAACGTATTGACACGGGCGTTTCAAGCACGGTACATGTTGCGCTTCAAGACGGGCGTATCAAGGCAGCGAAAGTCCGTATATGCTGCCCCCCCCCCCGGGATTATCAGCCCTGTGCGAGACAGCGGTGGCGGAGGCTGGAGAGGCGAGCGCACGCTGCGAAAAAAAGTCCACCCGCCTCGACGGAGGGGAGCTGCCTCCCCGGGCGCGCCGCTTGTCCTCTCTTCCTTCTCGCTGTCCTGTCCCTGCCGCTCCTTCGTCGGTCTCCTCTTCTCGCTATCCTTGTGAGCTGGCTCAGACTGTCCGCAATCTAGACCTTCCCAGAGAGGGCTCCTCCTGGGCCGCTCCAGCTCTCCAAACCCGACGTCTCACGTGGCGCGTGGCCCATTACGGGATGCTGCCCTTCCGAATGCTCGGGTGGTTACGGCTCCATATTCTCGACGTCTACCCCGCGCAGACGTCTCTGCCCATTACGTGTGGTGCATGCCTTCTCGCTTCGACACATACACAAATAGCCGACAGGTTTCTTCCCATGTTCATTTACACGCGTTGCATGCCAGCGCAAGCGACACATGCGACAGTTATGACACATTGTTCTGTGTGCGGTAGGGATGACGAGAGGCGCACGACATGGACACACTGCCGTCGCACATGCTGCACGCAGCGCAGACACGGGCAAACGATGCCAGGCAGCATGCGACACACATCGCACCATGCACTGCACATGTGGCATTATGTGGAGCCCGCCTGCGGCATGAGATCCCGCCGGCCCTCCAGGCGCGGGCAGCTCAAGAGGCACCCCTTCCTCCAACACCACGTCGCAACACTTCCTCCATGGCCGGGCCACCCGAAGAGGGTGCTTGCATGCCTTTCGAAATGGACATGTTGTCGACCTGAGGCCTGTTAGAAGCCTTCTGTGGTCTCCCAAGAGTGCTCTCAGCCTTGGCATGAAAGAAAAAAGGTCCTGCGGGAAACGAGCCCTGAAGACTGGGACTTTGACCAGCTTTCCGATCCGAGACGTCTATGCTGACGGTCCCGGCAAAATCGCCCCGGGCGGCCGAAAAGGGAGAAAGCTCGGGACGCCCCCGCTCGGGTCTTTGAGCTCCAAGCCTCGCACCTTCTGAGTAGTGCATCCAGCAAGAACGGCGACTGCACTGGAGGGAAGTGCAGTCGCCCTGAATGAGACCTAGTGAGACTCGTCTGACCTGTCCCCCACCTTTGGCATGAGCGGGCCCTCAAGCGACAGCAGGCACCCCCCAAGTGCCTTGCCAGGCGCCCGCTGCGACCACCAAAATGTATGTCCTGGGCTGGTCGCAAGCACCTCCCAAGTGCCTTTCCTGGCTGGCCGCAGGCACCTCCGAAGTGCCTTTCCTGGGCTGCCCGCAGGTACCCGCCGAGTGCCTTTCCCCTTCGAGGGGCGAGAGTCCGACGACCGGTGGGGGGGGGATAGCCAATCGGCTCACGCATAGCTGGCTTCTCTGGCACTTCCCGGCGCCGGGAGGCGGCAATGTACGTCGAGGGAAGCGCCCGGCGACGGGGCGCCGAGGCCGGCCGCGTGCAGCAGGTGTTGCCCCTCCCCCCCTGTTCCCCAGATCCCCGCCCTTCCCCGAGGCACGACGTTGCGAACAAAAACTGCAACGTCGCGAAAGAGCACGGCCAGAGCCCTGGGCCCCACCTTTCTGTTGCAAGTGTCGAGCTGGATCGATCGGTGAGGGTCCTGCAGGGGCCCGAAGCCGGGCGAGCACGTCCGGCGTGGAAGAGGTTGCGACGCCCAGATCTCACGGGACCCGATCCTTCCAAGACCAGCCGACACGGCCCCAAGGCCAGCCTTCTGCCTGGCGGCTCCCTCCGGGAAGGGGGGGGGTGGCGCGGCCCTGAGATCCGACGTAGCGAAAAATTGCAGCATCGTATAACCCCACCCTCCTGCGCCACCTTTAGAGCCGCATGGATCTGCGAGGGCCCCTGGGCCCGACAACAGGCGAAAGCGCAAGGCGCGAAAAATTCCAGCGCGAGGATCTCGGAGGGGGGGGGGCGCCTGGCCGCGACGCGTCCAGCGCGGCGGGCGGGCTGCCCGGGCGCGAGCACCCGGAGGCGGGCGGCGACGGCCAGTGCCGCTGGGGGCCGCGCGTCGGCGGCGTGCTGCCTGGCCACGGGGGACGACGACGGCCTCGTCAGCCCGCTCCCGCCCGCGGGTCCCAGAGCTCCACCGCACTTCGAGCAGGGGATCGACTCCAGAAATGATTTACCCCACAATGGATTTGGATGTGCCATCCTCGGATCAACAACCTATACGTAGGATGTGCGTACATCTACTGAGAGGTCTAAGTGTGTTCCGCAATTCTTGGGCAAATCCATTATGTAGTCGATCCCCTACTCGAGCACCGAGAAAGAAAAAAGAAACAAAAACGGCAAGGGTCTATCCCAGTTATCGGCGTCTGGAGACCCTCCCTGGGCCCTGGAGCCGTCAAGAAGCGGCCCGGGAGGAACACGCGCAGCCCTGGGGAAAGAGTTGGACTTCCAGGGCCCCCGCATGGAAAAAATACCCCGGTACATAAAGCACAGGAATGGCAGCAGAGGCGAAGGGGCGGGTCGAGGAGTAAAAGGTCGGCTATCTGGGGCAGGGGCGAGAGCACCGCTTATGCGCACCTTATTTTATTTTAGCCAGGGACCGTGGCCGTCTGGACCAAAACTGTTGCGGGCATTGAGGCGAGAGCACGATTCCTGAATAATGAATGAGAAAGGCGATCAACAACAACAACAACAACAACAACAACAACAACAACAACAACAACAACAACAACAACAACAGCAGCAGCAGCAGCAGCAACAACAACAACAACAGCAGCAACAACAACAACAACAAGAACAACAACAACAACAACAACAACAACAACAACAACAACAACAACAACCACAACAACAACAACAACAACAACGACAACAGCAACAACAACAACAACAACAGCAACAACAGCAACAACAGCAACAACAACAACAACAACAACAACAACAACAACAACAAAACACGGCTGCCGGACCGAGCTGTCTAGGGCTCCCCGCCCCCCAGCTGTGGGACTCTCCTGGTGCCACTATCAAGATCCCTCGACCAAAACGCTGTTGGGGGAAAAGTGCATCGGACCACGTCGTCGCCTCGAGGCGCTCGAGCAAGAGCGTCCGAACGAGCGGCTCGCGCCCACCGGGCTCCCGCGGCCAGCGGCACCGCCGCCAGCAGTACCGGCGGCGGCACGTCGCCGCTGGCGTGGCCGCTGGCGGCAGCGGCGCGGCGGCGGCGCAGTGGCACTGCTGGCGGCGGCACGGCAGCGCTGGCGGCGGCGGCACGGTGGAAGCGCGGCGGCGGCGCAGCGGCGGCACGCGACGCGGCTGCAGCGCGGCGGTGGCGCGGCGGTGGCGCGGCGGCGAGTGGCTGCGTCTTACGGAGGGCGGCGGCGGCCGACCCCCCTTGCGGCGGCACGACGGCGGCGTGCTGTCTGATTGCACGGCGGCGCCGTCGCTGGCGCCGTCGAAGCTCAAGGATCGAGGGTCAAGGTTTGTGAGCGCTTTCGGCCATGTTGGGGAGGCAAATGCCTCCAGTGGCTTCCAGAGGCAGGGACCTCTGCTGGCCTCTGCGGCGGCAAGGCGGCGGCACGGCGGCGTCCCCCGATGCGATGTGGCAATCCACGGCCCAAGGGCTCCCGAGCCTTCCCCAGTGGTACATCTGCGTCTTGGATCCACTTGTGATGGTCCTGGAGCCCGATGGCGGGCCCCAGAGGCCGACCTCGAAGAGAGACGCTGGGATTGGAAAAAAAACATAACGTCGGAGGTCCGACGCGGCAAGAGTCACAATGGGTGGCTCTCGGGAGGCTTCCAGGCCACGGGAGGGCCCGAAGACCAGCAGGAGGGAGAGGAGGAGGAGGGAGAAGAAGGGGGAGGAGGAGAGGGAGGAGGGAGGAGGAGAGGGAGGAGGAGAGGAAAGAGGAGGTGGAGGAGAAGGAGGAGGAGAGGAGGGAGGAGGAGGAGGAGGAGGAGAGAACGAGGAGGAGGAGCAGGAGGAGGATGGGAGGAGGATGAGGAGGAGAGGAGGAGGAGGAGGAAGAGAGAGAAGGACAGGAAGAGGAGGAGGGAGGAGAAGGAGGAGGAGGAGGAGGAGGAGGGGAGGAGCAGGGAGGAGGAGAAGGAGGAGGAGGAGGGAGAGGAGGAGGAGGAGGAGGAGGAGGAGGAGAAGGGAGGAGGAGGAGGAGGAGGAGCAGCAGAGCAGCAAGGAAGAGGAGAGGGAGGAGGAGGAGGTGGAGGAGGAGGAGGAGGAGAAGGAGGGGGAGGAGGAGGAGGAGGAGGAGGAGGAGGAGGAGGAGGAGGAGGAGGAGGAGGAGGAGGGGGGTGAGGGCACATCGTCCACAACGCCTGCACCCCCCGAAGTCCTAGGCCCTGGTGCAGGCACAGATTTCG